TCTGGAGTTGACTTTTTGTGTCCAATGGATTCGACACTTGATCCTGAATCGGATCTCACTCGTTTGCCGGCACAATCTCTATCAAATTACATGTCGTACGACACGTTAACTGGGCCAGAAGTGGCCGACCCATTCACCCATCGTCGAGGGTCGTCCACGTCCTTCCCTGTCAGCCTTTGTAAAATATATGTAATATGTAAATGAAAATTATAAAGTAACTATCAACATGTATAAAAATGAAAGATTTTGCCAAGAACTCATTTATTGTTGAACACAATACATAAAAATATAATCAATGAAAAATAACAGTTTTACTTTTCAAATATAGTCGTTGATGATGTCTTAGTACAGTAATACACAATCTATCGATATCATGACCCTAACGACTATGACTCTTAGCGACACACCCTCTGCTGAGTAACACTCGAACTATGATCTCACGTGACATCTCTCAGCAACACACTCTTCATAATCTAAAGTAGTAAGACAAACAACAAAGGAAATAACGCCTTTCAACATCATTGGAAGAACCACACTATTTGGGGTGGGCAGACGTCTCAATTAAAAATATTTGTAACTGTTTGTAACAACAGTACATTTTTTTATGGATAATGTTATATTATTGATAACTAAATTAGAAAATAATGGATATAAATACTGGTAAATAAAAAAGTTTTTCGCAACAGTCCACGTCGACACCAATGGACATCACCGATGCTAACACATCTTCCTGTCTTATAGGATACTATTTTTCGATGAGTCCAGATTTGCACAATTCTCGAATAATTGACAACGCATCTGGATTTTGGGACTATCCAACTAGGAATCTTCGTTGAACTTCAAAATATTTTATTAGATAAATATTCAATGAGGACAAACTTTTTTGTCACTAGAGGAAGGTAGCTACCTTTAATATGTAAGTCAAATTTATTAAGTATAACCGGGACTGGAAAGACTAACTTCAAGTAGCTGGGCTTGTCTCAGCTATCCTGTGCTATACTTGAATAATGTGACAATATGAAGTCCTTAAGGTAAATCTTGTTGTTCTTTTAAGATCTTTTTTTTAATAAGTCATTTTCATAAAAGGGTGGAGGTTGGGAGTAACATGTAGTAGAATTATTAGGGTGATATTTATTCTACTTTAAGGATTTTTTAGAACTTTTAAGGGTGGAGGATGGTAGTCATTGTTTAGTAGAAATATATATTTTTTTGGGTGGCTTAATTTTGTCTTATTTCTACTTTTAACTTTATTACATCTTTTTAAGGGTAACTGCCTTCCCACAACTGGCTGCAGACAGTGAAAGGCAGTAAAAGTTGGGATGTTGTGAGTGTAAGCACTCAACTCTGTACCCTTATTGAATTTTCCACGACTGCTGACTGGTTTCTCATCTGCTTTTTGGATTTTGTCTGATAGATGGGGTATCCCCAACGCTTTTGGGTGCTATTACCACAGTCAATCTCCGTTATGACTTTTGGATAACTACCGGAATGTGTGAAGGTTTTTTGTTTTTCAAAAAGAGTTTTGAATTTATATTAAATTCATTATTGTTTTATAGTGCTGATCTTGATCGCCTATTGACTGTGTAATTGATATAATAGTTTTGAAGCTATACCTCTTATTATGTGTGTGTATATGTATAATAGTCCGTGCATGGACATCATATAAGTACATACTATAAGTATAAATGTTTGTTTGTTTGTTTTGAATTTCGCGCAAAGCTACACGAGGGCTATCTGCGCTAGCCGTACCTAATTTAGCAGTGTAAGACT